TTGTAGCCACAGTGATCTTTCCCAAATTAAAATCTACTATATCCTTCACCTGTTTACAATCTGTCAGGGGATCCCCATTGCCCTGAGAATGAAGTCTAAACTCCTCAGCATGGTCCATGAGTCACTCAGGTAGCTCAGACCCTGCTTATATCTCTGGCTCCATCTCACCATTCCTCCCTTTGCACACTTTGCTTCAGCCATACTCAACAACTTATGGCTTCTAGACAGATCATGCTCTTTCTTTCAAACCTTTCTATACACTTTTCTCTGTCTAGGACACTTTCTCATTATTCTCATTTTTCCCCTGAATATGAATCCTTCAGATCAGTAGTTCTTAAACATTATGAATCAATCTGATAAAAGCAATGGACTCTTCCCAGAAAAACATGTATGTACTTCTGTGTGCTCATTATTTTGCATGTATCTCAAGGGTGCAGGAATTCCTGGCTTAAAAACCTCTCTAACTACGGCCATCAGGTGGCGTGGTGGTTAAGGGTACTGGACTCCCACATGGCCAACGGTGGTTCAAGGCCTGGACCTGGTGGCTTGCTTTCTCACTTTCCCTCTCTCTCTCGCTCTCTCTCTGTCTTATTCTCTTGCTCTGTCCCTCTCTGGTCAAATTAAAATAAATAAATGTTAAATAAAATAATTCTAAAAAATTCAAAAACTCTTTAACTGAACCCCATCTTTAAGTAATGAACACTTTTTACAATTGTTTGTCTTTTTCTAGACTGAGTTTCTTGAGAGCAGAACTTGCTTATTGGTGTGTCCTCTAGGCCTAGCACAGTGCTTGGCATATGGTGACACATTTGATATATATTTGCTGAATGGATGAATGGATGAGTGAATGAATAAATAGCTGCCCTTTAGTGGATCATGATTCATTTGGAGAAGGACATACAGGTTAACTGATGACAAGCAGAAGATAGAAAGGCCTAAAAAGATGTATAGCTGAGAGACATTCTCCAAAAATTCAGAGCCTGAAGTGGCTGGTGAGGCTTACTGGGAAAAGATAGCACAAATAGGACTCTTGGACATCTTGAAAATAGAAAAATTTACAGGGTTTATGTTCTGTTTCCTAGAAATATTTTATCAAACTATTAGTGGTGAGTGACAAAAAACAGCCAGCGTAGGCTCTGACTTCATACTTATATAAAGAATTTTGAATCTTCATTCTTGTAGTCAGGCTTCTTTTGTTTTTTTTTTGTGGAGACTTATACTTTTTTTTTTGAGAGGTTTTCGCTATAGGGCATATGCGCTCGCCAGACAGACAGAGAGAGACAGAGAAATCACCCCCCAGAGGGAATGGTCACGCCGCAATCCCTTCTCCTCCATTCTCCTCTCGGGATCTTGGGCACATATGCACACACGCCCGGCGTGAGTTCCAAGCCAACGGGTCCGGGATGCAAACCGTGGTCGACTACGTGGGAGTCCAGCGACATAGCCATTATGCTAACTGCTGGTTCCCAATATTTGGTCTTATTTTTAAGGCCCAAGTTCTTAAACTAAGCATTGGCTATCTTTGATTAACTTTTGTATATAATTATCACTTGAACCCTCATTAATGAACAACTTCTTTCTTTTTTCTCCTTCCTCCTTTATATTTTTTCCTTTTATAAAAAATTTATTTTTAATTATAAAACTGGGTCTTACTATGTTGTGATCCTCCTGTCTCAGCCTCTTGAGTAGCTGGGGTTACAGGTGCATGACATTGTGCCTGGTCTTTAGGTTGGACTAGAAATTTAACTTGGACTTCCAACCTATGGACACAGCTTCTCACAGCACATACTACCCCAGCTGGGTCACTGAACAGCTGTTTAGAGAGAGAAGTTTCACTTCTGATTTCCTTGTATATTCACGTCTCTGTGTCTCAGAATAAACTCAAGAGAGAGATGGTGAGAGCCTGACTTGTGGGAGGAGGAGGAATCTGCCATCTTCTCCTGTTTCTTCATTGCCTGTTTGTCTTGCTCCAGGGCTTTTTGTGCTGAGTGTCTTTCTTTTCTTTTCTTTTTTTTTTTTAACTGAGAACCAAAAAACAGAGTGGTAGGGCTTTGGTCCACTTGCTCTGGTGGTAAAGGGAGAAGACAGGGCTTAGGATGTTTTTTCCTCCTGCTTTCTTTTCAGTTCCAGAGTCCTTCAGATCTAGACCTGTGTCAGAATAGGAACTGTGGATTGGTGGAGGAATCCAGTGCAGTACTTGTGGCATGGAGGCGGGCGTCTACAACCCACATGATGTACTGTACTTTATTTTCTTGGCTCTGGTGCATGGATTCCACAGAGAGAAAACAACCGCCCAGGCTTTGTTTTCACACTCACACTAGGGATTCTGATTCCTTCCTTTTTGGCAGTCAAGTTGCCCTTTATTTCAGTCTGCACAGACACACGTGTTGCCTGTCTTTCCTTCTGAAAGCAGCAGCCCTTGTTGAATGAGTGTGACTCTAGATAAACCCATGGTGTAGTGGAGCACAGGCTGAAGTTGGGGGCCTCAGGACCATAGAAATGTGCTGCTGCTGCTGCTACCTCATTCATAGTTCTACATACTCTCTTTCTTGGGTTATTGCTATTGTTATTTTTTAATTTGCCAGTGGATGCGTGTGCTTGTTGGAGACAGACACATAGAAAGAGAGAGAGAGAACGTAAGAAAGCACTGTTCTATGGGGTGGTCACACCATAATTTCTTCTCCTTCTTTTGCCCTCCTTTTGGAATGTTGGGCACACATGCACATGCACCAATGTGTTTCTCAAGCTGCAGGGTCTGGGACTCCATCTGCGACTGATCATGTGGGATCCAGCTAGCTTACCCACCAGCCAGCCTGCAAACTGGCCCTCTTTCTTGGGTTATTATCAGGGCCTTCCAAATGTTCTCCCTGCTCTCTTATCCTGCACCCAAAATTTCATTAAAAGATACAGATCTGTTTTTGATTTCCCTTTTTAAAATCTCTCACTGGACTCCCCACATAGCCAACTGCAGTTCTAGTCGCAGACCTAGAGGCACATGTAGGGTACCTGTGCATGTGAACCCAAAATCCTGAGAGGAGAATGGAAGAGGAGGGAATGCAGCATGGCCATTCTCTCTGGGGAGTGATTTCTCAGTTTTCCTCTCACTGTGTCTCTTTGTCTCTTTTCTGAGTGCACATGTCCTATAGCAAAAACCGTTTTTGAAAAAAAAAAAAAAAAACACAAGTCTCAAAAAACAAAAACACCTATCAGTGGTGCTATCCTTAGGATAAAGTCCAAACTCATGTGCATGACTTACAGGGCTATGCAAGTCCTGCCCTATCTACTCTTTAGCTTTCTCTTTTCCACTGTTACTAAACCAGTCTCACCATTTCCAGAATGCATCCTTTTGACACTTTCCTCCCTTCATACTTATGAATCCTATATCTAGTTCATCCTTCTTCACCTTTGCTGCCTGTGGAATACTTCCTCATTCTCTTTACCCAGTATGAGTGTTAGCTCCTATTAGAATCCTTACTGATTTCCCAGGTAGGGTTTGTCGCCCTCTCCTCATTGTTCTTGGGAATTAGTATAGAATAGTGGCTATGGCTCAAGTATGGACTCCAGTCATTCTCCTTGGGTTTTAACTCAGTTTGGTCCCTTCCTAGATGTGTGAACATGAACAAAATGAATCCCAACCCTTCTGTGCCTCAGTTTCTTTTTCTCTTTTTTAAAAATTTTGCTGGAGGGTATGTGTGTTTGCTAGAGAGAGAGAGAAAAAGAGAGAGAGAGAGAGAGAAAAAGAGAGAGAAAGTGAGACTATTCCCCGATAGGGAATAGTCATGTTGCAATTCCTTCTATTCCATTTCTTCCTCTTTTGGGATTTTGGGCATGCATACACACATTGCCAGTGTATTTTTCAAGCTGCCAGGTCCAGACTCTTAACCAGACTCTGAATCATTCAACCATGTGGGTTTCAGTCTACCATGCCATTGTCTTAACCACCACGCCACCGGCTCAGCTTCTTTGTTTGTGAAATGAGGATATTTATAAACCTCATACTGTAGGTTGTTATGAGAATTAAGAGGCAACCCTAAAAGAAAAAAAAAGTATGTTTAATTGACAAAAAAATGAAAAGTTAATTGTTACTGCTGATGTATATAGTGATGTCTTTGTCTTGACTGATATGCATGATAATTGTGCTGGAAAAAGAAACGTTATACACTGTTGAGATATATGTGACTAAATATAATAGAAAAATAAGAAAATTTAAAAAGTAACCTTTATCATTTTAATTTGGCCAGAGAGGGACAGAGTGAGAGAAACAGAGAAAAAGCAAGCTGCCAGGTCCGGTACTCAAACCATGGTCGGCCATGTGGGAGTCTGGTGCCCTTAACCACCATGCTACCTGCTGCCCCCCCCCCCACCCCCCCTGCTTTTTTTTTTTTTTTTTTTCTTTTAAAGGTTTTTGCCATAGGGCTCATGTGCTTACCAGAGATAGATACAGAGAAAGAGAGAGAGAGAAAAGGGGAAATTAACCACCATCACCCCTCCCAAGGTGGGATGGCCACACTGCAATCCTTTCTTTTACACTCTTTTCTTGGGATTTTGGACATGTACACACAGGCCTAGAGTGATTTTCAAGCCACTGGGTTTAGGACTTGAATTGCTATCAGCCATGTGGGAGCCCAGTGCCTTAATCAGCACCTAAGGCACCCCTTTTCTTATTATCATGGTACTTTGTATATGGCTCTACTAAGCTGTGTGCAGTTTACAGTAAATATTGGTTGGATGAGTTATTGCATTAAAAATTTGCCTTCAAAATGGAAATGGGCAATAGATAGTGTGGGGAATGCTTAAGATTGGGTTTGTGGGTGATCACAGACACAAAGCTGATGTGACCTGATGTAAGCTGGTTCATGATCCACTTTGTATGAATCCTTCCTATTTCTTCCTGGGGCACAGACAATGCTTTTAAGTTTCTAGACAGGCAGAAGACCATGTGGCAATTAAGCATACCTTAAATGAAATGTTCATGTCCATTTTATTTTTGTGAACCATAGGTGACATGTCTGAGAGTAAAGCCAAGAAGATTGAAATAAAGGATGTGGATGGGCAGACGCTAAGTAAGCTGATTGACTACATCTATACAGCTGAAATTGAGGTGACCGAAGAGAACGTCCAGGTAAACCCAGCACCAGCTAATAGCTCAGTGAACTCAGGATCCAGTTTTACAGCATTATTCATTTAACCTTCACAGCAACTCATTTGGTCCTTGAAGAGGAAACCAAAGCTCCAGGGAGATTAGGTGACCGGCCTTGGGTCATATGCCTGCTTGTCTTGGATACCCATGCTGTTAACCACTGGACTGTAATTCCTCTGCATGAGCCTATGCTCCAGAAACAGGGTGCTCTTCATTCATGTCAGTTCAAAATCTTGGTGAAGGAAGAATCAGAAGCCTGGGTGACTCTTTTTTTCTCCCTAGGCCGTCATCTCAGTGGCTTAGGAATTGGATTACGAGACTTAAAAATCTTTCCTGGTTTAGCATTAGTCATCCAAATGCCTTTGAGCATGTAGAGGTGCCAAAGACTGGGACTGAGTCTCAGCAGAAATATGAGGTTCTGAAATGTGCCATTTTCTCCTTTCACCATCCTACCTCATCTTCAGCCATCTGGAACCTTGAAAAGAGAAGCTAGTGAAGATAGAGCTTTTGAACTAGGAGTATGTCTTTGCTGTGGGGAACATGCCATCAGCATCATATCCCAGGAAGGAAGATGGTTGAGGGCATAGCCCACTCTTGAACCCTAAAAATCATTGGACTAAACACAGATAGGAGTTATACTATTTGTTGTCCTTAATATTAATTAGAGTTTGGGAAATTACATGGGATGATGGTCTTTTTCTTTGTTTTGTTGTTTCTGTTTAAAGCACTTTATGTACTGAGAGGATGATATCACTGTAGTGACCAAAATACCTATCTCCCTTATCCAGAACACCAACCTCTTTTCCAGTATTTAGGTATTTGAGAAGCTAAATCGATAATTGTTTATTCTTTCAATTCAGGCCAAATGTTTGAATTCCTGTTTGATATAGGCAGGTATGTTGTTAGGCACTGTGGTTTTAAGAGTAAGGAGTGTTGATTTTGTTGCCTGCCCACATGGGGCTTGTGGTCTAGGAGTGAAGACACACAAACACACAAGTAATGTCTATGCACAATTGTGATAAGTCTTTTGAAGGAAAGGAGCATGGTACAGTGAGAAAGAATTTAAAGGGGACTTGATTTAGATTAAGGAGGGCATCTGGGAATGGCTTTTTCAGGAGATGAGATTGAAGCTGAGGTCTATAGGATGAGAAAGGTTTAGCTTGGTATAGTGAAGGATACTCATAAGGGGTCAGGGTATAAGTAAGCAGAAAGATATGCTATGTTGGGATCTGCAGAGTCCAGCCCCCTAGTACATGGCCCTGATACAGTCTCTTGGGCTGTATGATTTCTGCAGTGATTTGATCAAATTCTCTTCTGTCCCATTTTAAATTGAGGTATATTTTATACATAGTAAATTGCACAGCCATTCTCTTGTTGCTGGTATTTCCCATCCAGTGGAGTGGGCAGTGCCATGGCTACATACTAGATCTAGCAACAGAATTCCAACAGCAGAATAACTTGGGGATAGCAACTTAAGTGCAAGATAATTTAGTATAAAATGAGTATAGGGAGGTTGTAGAATTGTATAATCAGAACCAGCTGGGGAACCAGTAGTTAGCGTAATGGCTATGTCGCTGGACTCCCACGTAGTCGACCGCGGTTCGTGTCCCGGACCCGGTGGCTTAAAACTCACGCCGGGCGCGTGTGCGTGCGTGCCCAAGATCCCGAGAGGAGAATGGAGGAGAAGTGATTGCGGCGTGACCATCCCCCCTGGGGGGTGATTTCTCGCTTTCTGTCTCTATGTCTCTCTCTGTCTGTCTGGCGAGCGCACGCGCCCTACAGTGAAAAATCTCTCAAAAAAAAAAAAAAAAAAAAAGAACCAGCTTTGTTCTCCTTTTTCATCATGTGTTTATTTAATAACTTTATTTGCTGTAAAGTACAAAGTACTTAAACTTGAAAAGTTATAAGATCTTCCACTCTGATCCTTACTGTCTGCCTAAGTAATAAGTAATAATAAGTAATAATATAAAAAAGTAATCTTTTCAACTTTGGTTCAACCCAATTTGGTTTCTCTAAATTAGCTTGTAAAACCAATTAAGGTAGATAGCAGCAACTAGCACAATGAGAGGACTCTGAAGAAAATGGCTTCCTCATTGCTTTTAGAAATTGTTTTGTAAGGGAGTGGGAGGAGCCAAGAGTAAGGGTGCACAGTTCCAAGAACTAGTGGAAATAAGGATGAGGCAGGAATCAAAACTGAAAGGAGACCTGGGTCTTAGTCTCAGTGTGTCCACTCATTTATCTCCTAAGCCATCCCCATTGCAGGTTGTTAGTTTTCCCATCTATAAAGTAAGGGCATGGAACTCATTGACTTTTGGCCAGAGAACACATTTGCTCTGATTGCCCCTGGTTTGCTTTTTATTCTGTCTACTGGGGCTTCTCCAACAAATCCTGGCTGCACCATTTTCTAGCTGTGTGACCCAAAGCTAGTTATTTGATCTCTCCGTGCCTCAATTTTTTCATTTTTAATTTGGGCATAATAATACTTAACCTCATATAGTTGGTGTGAACATTTAATGTATTAATATTAGTAAAGTGTCAAAACAGTGGCTTTCATATGGTAAACAAAAAATATTGGCTAGTATTTCTGAAAAATAGAGAGGTAGAGTTGGAGTCAAATATATGTGGAGGCTTTTCCTGTTTTATTCTCTTTCTGGGTACTCATGGCAACTGAGGAGAAGAAATCAGGTGTGGGTAGGAGCCAGGATAAGGGTTTAGGGGGCAGAGATGAACTTGATATGGCCTGAAAGTGGCTGGGAGTTCTCCCAAGTGGGAGATAGTTTGGGATACCCTCTTCTCAGGGTGTGCCAGGAATGGTTGGCCAAAGACAGAGGTATGGGCCAGGTGCCAGCTCTTGCTTTGAGGAGAGGGTTCTTTAGGGGATCTGTTAAGTAGCCTGGTGAAGGGTAAAGCATGAGGTAGAAGGCATAGGGCCAAGAGGCCAAGAGACTCAGTCCTTTCTCCTTCCTCATGATAGACTGGGTGTGGGATCTCATCTCATTCTTCCTTCCCTCATTCAATACACATTTTTTGAGTTCCAACACTGTATCAGCAGACAGTATGAAACAGAGAGTGCTGTGTCACGCTATTTACCCCAAGGAGCACATGGTCTGAAGGCAGAAACAGATGGCTAAGCAAATAGGTGCCCCTTGTTGTAGTAGGGCCAGGGTCTAGGTATCCAGGAAGCAGGAAATAGTCATGTCTCCTCTGATGAGAATGAGCAAGGAAGACCTCACTGAGGAAACATTTTTTGGTCCAGATCTTGAATGGAGACTGAAAGGTTGGGCTGCCTCCCCTGCCCAGTTGTCACTGGCCTATGAGTCCTGTTGGGAACCTGGTATATTTTTCTGTGTGTGTGTGTATGCATGTGTGTCTGTATGCATGTGTGTGTGTGTGAGTAGGTGGGCTAGGGTTAGTATATGCTGGGACATGGAACCTTCAGAAATCTGTCATTATTTGGAGTCAATGCAATATATTAACTGTTTCTTTTTCCTTTTCCTCCTTACTTTAAACTGTGGTTATATGAAAGGTGACCTTATGGGAGAATAAAACAAACAAAAGCCTGAAAAGAATTGAGTTTGGATCAAAATGTAAATTCTTTATGCTGTTGTGTACCTGTTGAGGTGATTATTTACAAGTTATCTATGAAGATCTTTGTTGAAGATTTGTAGCCTTGAGGAGATGGGCATGGAGGCATGGAGGCATGGAGGCTCTCCTGAAAGCCTTAGCAACAGGGTCAGAAATTTGGGGCTTGGCTAAATAGCTATGACTGCTACGTCCTTAGTCTCTTCCCAGCCACACATTACCTGGGAGAGAATGTCAGTTGCCCTTCCTTGCTGGAGGTAACAACAGTCCTAACTGACACTAATTATACTAGTTATAAGCTAAGTATGTGCCAATCACTTCACATTGTGATAGTTCATTTAATTCTCATAACCACCCAATGGAATGTACTAATATGATCCCTCTTTTACAGTTGAGGAAATAGTTGCTCAAAGGGCTTAAAATAACCTGTCATGATCACATAGGGACTAATTGGCAAAGTTAGGAGCTAAACCCAACTCTCTGACTCTTCCATGTCCATGGCTGTGCTGTATAGTTTTTCCTTAAATGAATGAGCAGGCCCTAGTCATGGTAGTGTGTTCTGATAAGACCCTTCTGCTCCATAGGTTGGAAAGACAAGGGAAACCCAGGTTGAATTTACACTTCAACCAGAAGGTGGATGAAATGACATGAAGCTTTAATCCTAGCACCTCAGGAAGACTGAGGCAGGAGGACTGCCTCATCTGTAGGCTGTTCTGGGGAACATAATGAGATTCAGTATGAAAAAGTAACTGGATGGGGCTGGCAGGTGGTATGGTGGTTAAAGGTGCTGGATTCCACATGGCTGACTGTGGTTCAAGTCCTGGGCCTGGTGGCTTGCTTTCTCACTTTCCCTCTCTCTCTTTCTCTGATAAAACTCGAAAATAATAATAATATATAAAATTTAATGTAATAATTCTTAAAAAAAAAAAAAAAAAGAAAGTAAGAAAGAAAAAGGAACTGGGTGTGGTGACATATACCTGTGGTCCAGTTACTTGGGAGGCTGAGGGAGGAGTACCATGACATGGTGAGATCTTGGTTTAAAAAAAAAAAAAAGAATGATTAGAGCCTTGACTTTGACTCTTAATGATAATTAATAATAACAACTGACATGAGCTGAGCATTCCCTTCTTTAAGTGAATTGTCCTACTTGAACCTTATAAGTCTTCAAGGCAGTACCTTTATTATCATTTGACTGTTGAGGAGACAGAACAGAGAGGTTAAGTACTTTGACTTCAGTCACATGGCCAGTAATTGGAGAAATCAAAATGTGACGTTCTGCCAGCTCTATTTATCTATCCACCTCGCTCTCTTTTTCGTCTTTCTCTCAACAGGTTTTTATTTAGCATCGTGTCTTTGCCAGGCCCTGGGTGGCCCTATCACCTGGCTCCCTGGCTGGTGCCCTCTCTCTGTGTATGGCCCTGCCTCCCTAGAATTCCAGGAGTAGGTGCTTTCTGAGGCAGGGCATTTCCTTTTGTTTTTGCTAAAGGAAACAAATGCTGTGACGGGATATCCTCTACTGTGTTTTCATGTTATCCAAGGGAGTGAAAAAACAAAACAGGGCTTGCCTGTGAAAAATGGAGAAGAGGCCTTTTGCCAGCTAAAAGGAAACCTGTAAATTCTGCTGAGGGCCAATCCAGGGCCTGCTTTTTTTCTGAGAACTATAATGCTGAGGTGGGAGAAGGCAAGCTAGCATTGCTTTCTGACTTAAGATATCTTTCATCATGATGGGTAGTTCCAGCAAGCTACTCCTCTGGTCTTAGCCTCCAACCCCCCAGGGGCCAAGTATGCATCACTACCAGCATGGTCTCTATTTCACCTAGTTAGACCTCTTATTCTAATCTTGTTACCACTGCTACTCAAGGGAGTTGGGTTTTAGGCAAAATATCAGGCAATCTTTTCAAAGCCCTGTTGATGCTGAGAGAGGAAACTGAATTCATTCACCTCCTAGATATTTTGCCCTCTTTCTTTTCAGAGCCTCTGGGGCTTTATTTTTTTACTCATGCCCAGACCTCAGAACCTCCAGTTGATTGGGCCCTAGTTTATCCCTGAAACCCAGAGTTTGAGCAGTGGTCTATTTTCTAACCATCAAATCTTTCCCCTCAGCATTCTTACTTCCTTGATGTCTCTTTATGCCTTCCTGTATGAAACAAGTGGAGGGGAGAAAGGGGCCTTTGACTCACAGCTTATCGCAGTATAAGATCAAAGAGAGAGAAAGAGCAGTTGAAGAAACCACAAGCCCCATTCATTTTAGGAATGCTTTTGGGCAGAAGTGGACCCAGACAGGAGGGAGTTGTGTGAAGAGGTGGCAAGTGTTATAATTTTGCCTACTAAGTGGGTTTTGTGAATGGTGGGGAAGTTAAAAGCTACATGGTCCACTTTATCCAGGAAAGTTTTAAAAACTGAAAGTGCAATCTAAAGACTATATTAAGGATATACTTTTAATTTTATTTCTCTGACTACTTGTCATGAGCATGAGAATTGAAGCATCAAGACGAGCTGCTGTCTTCTTGGTGAGGAAGAGAGTAAGAGTAAAGAGAATGTGATCTTGTCACGGCTTGAATAGAAATATAATCTGGGGCCAGATTGGACTCAGAAGCACTTTTCTTGGGGGAGATATTCCTGCGTCATTCCTGCCTCTTCTCACGCCTGGCTCTTCTGGGGCTCACCACACCTCTGAATAGTGTGTGTGTGCTATATAAAATTAGATGACTTTCTCTTCCCTAGGGCTCTTTAGATTTACTGGTTGGAGGTTGTTCCTCCCTAGGACAAGTAACTATCCAATTTGGCCAGAACTAGAGGTGGAGGAACTTACAGTGCTAAAACCAGTGAAGTCCAAGGTAAATGAGAGTGATAAGTCAATCCATAGCTTTAACTCTAGGCTTTATAGCTGGTGCTGGTCAGGTGGGGTATCATTGTGATCATTTGGAGACTTAGAGCAGAGATTTTCATTCCTGGTGTGTATTCAGTAAGAATGGTTAATGGATCTCCACTTAACTAGTAGGCAGAAACTAATCTGGACTTGGGATCTGTTCAGCTAGGCTGAGCAAGCTCACTGGTTAATTGAGTGTTCTAGTTTATGACTGCTTAGTTGGGGACTGTGGCAGCCTACTGCCATAGTAGGAGCTCAGGTGGTTATATCTGGACCCTGGCTGTATTCACTTATGGTCTAAAACTCTCAGAAGGTGATTTTAATATTTTTTAAAGTTTTTTTTTTCTTTCTCAGGAATAATAGAGTATTCAGAAAACACTAAGGACTTCCAGGGACACAGGAGAGTGGGAGAGAGGGAAGGGGAAATGTAGAGTAGCTCACTTTCTAAATCTCACTAGTCTTGAGGGAAAAGTTTAGGATTTTAGGTAGGAAGAATTTTTCCTGTTGAGAGTAGGCATGTAGCTCAGGAGTTTGATCTCTGACAGTGGAGGCTCTTGGTTATTATTGCATGTGAGCAGGGATAGTGAATGGTGACTAGCCATCCTAGTTTTAGCACTGAAAGTCCTGGGGATCCCCTTAGTCCTTGGCAAATCAAGACAGCTGGTTACTCTAGTGGATGGATAAGGCCCATCGTTTTGACCTGTGCACATAGAGGTGATGAGAATCAGAGCAGAGGGCTTAGAGCTGTTTTGGGAAAAGACTAGAGTCTAGAATTTAAATCACTTAAAGAAAAAGACTTGTAATTCTCTGAATAAAGAAAACAAAGGCATTCACAGCTGATATCTTCTTGGGCAAGCTCTTGTGAATGGGAACAGCTGGAGTCTAGCTGGCTTAGTCACTGTCTCTGGAGCCAGGGAAGCAGCTGAGAACAAAGACCTAGAACAAGGGAATATTTTTGGAGTGAAATGGATGCTGAGATTTCCAAGCTAAGTAGCCTCAAATAAAACTGTTGGGCTCTTTTTTCTTTTTTCCTGAATTTCTTATTGACTCTTAGACCACCTGACTTTTCCATAGGTGGGAGTCAGGGGCAGCAAAGCCAGAATGGAGTAGGACTTTGGTCTGTATCCTGTATTTTTTGTCTAGAGGGCAGGTTTCAGCAGCTGTGGGAAAGTCCTTGGGAAATTAGACAGCAGTTGGCAGTCTGAGCTTTTAGCAGACCTGTTCAAGCCAGATTCCCCTGGCTCTTAGGGAAAACACATTCACCTACACCTGAACAAGAACTATTTCTGTCTTCCAAGATGCAGTGTAAATACCCATGTGTCCTGGGTCCTGTGACCTTTTTAGAAGAAAACAGCTCTCCTTTCTCTGAGAATGTCCCTGCAGATGCTCTTTAACTTTTGTCTGTTGGATGGGAGAATAAAGTGTGATTACACGAGTCTCAAGGGATTTGAGGGTGAATCTTTTGTTTCAGTGGAGTATAAGGTCCATAAGAGCAGGATCCTACTTTTTTTGTTTATCACTGAATCTCAGAGTCTAGACCAGTGCCTGGCACATAGATATTCAGTAATTAAATAGTGAATGGATTAGTGGACAATTCAGTAATTACCTTTTGGAATAGGGACAGTACACTCAGTGCGTAAGGCAGTGGTTCTCAAAGTTGGCTGTATGTTAGAAGCACCTGAGAAACTTTAAAAACATCTATATCCAACTCCCTATATCTATTAAGTTTGAATCTTTGGGGGTCAGACTCAGGGGTCAGTATTTTTGAAACTCTCCAGGTGATTCCAATGTTATAGTCAAGTACACACATCCAAGCTATATGGTGTGCATCTGTGTATGTAGGGTTTTGATACTCAAAGTGTGGTTTGTGGACTAGCAGCTGCAAGCACCACCTGGTTCTCATTAGAAATGCAAGCTCTTGGGCCGCACCTTAGACCTACTGAATCAGAATTGTATTTTCATAAACTCTCCAGGTATTAAAGACTGGGAAGCACTGCTGTAAGTTGTAGGGCACAGAGAATCTGCTGGTTCTTAGGGTCCATGAAGTCAACAGTAGTGAGAAATAAGGCTGGAAAGAAGGTGGGATATTTGGACTTACTGACCAGGAAGTGGTGAGCCATGAAAAGATCTTACACATGGAATGATATGATTGGACAAGTGTTTTAGGGGGATGAACCCCTGACATTCAGTCTAGTGCCTCAGAATATCATCTTCTCTTGCAGGTGCTGCTTCCAGCAGCCAGCTTGCTACAGCTCATGGACGTTCGGCAGAACTGCTGTGACTTCCTGCAGTCTCAGTTGCATCCCACCAATTGCTTGGGCATCCGTGCATTTGCAGATGTGCACACCTGTACTGACCTTCTGCAGCAGGCCAATGCCTATGCAGGTAATGGGGAGCCAGACCAGTGCCGCACCTCCTTCAAGCTTGTGGATTTAATCACCTGGTCTGTGTGGACTCCTTAAAGATTATGAGAAGTGGTCACAGCTGTGAAGCAGCTGCAATTTATTATAGTTAGGGAGACAGGGCACAAGTGGAAAGTTAATTAACAAAAGGAGAGTTTAGTTCCTTGCCAAGGGAAATATGATTAATTGCCAGATGGATGGTACAGATAAAAATTTTCATGATAAGTAGAGGAAGGAAATCTGAGAAGACTTGGGGATAGAAGGTCTTGAAATAAATCTTATATCTTGTTGTTTAGGAAAATTCTTATTTTGATAAAAATGTTATATGAACATAATTTTAGAAGTCAAATATGTTCTATTTTAAGTCTAATAATGATAAACAAGACTTCCCTGCTCTACTTTTCCATACTAAGTCTTGCGCTCTAGCTTCACTCAATACTAAAGGAATGAAAATGGAGTTCTGTTTCTGCTAAAAGCTGTTCATCTGCTATTCACCTCCATTTATTTAAATAAAATGCGTATAATACTTTTTTTAATGTATTAGTTTTAGATAGTATTTATTGACTTACCCAGAAGGGTAAGATTGAGCTTTCACAGACTTTCCCTCATACACATGTACTTTCTCCTCTTTCTTCTTTTTTAAAAAGCTCTATCATTTTTAAAAAAGAGTTATTTACTTATTTTTTTTTTTCACATGAGTTTTGCCAGAGAAAGACAGAGAGAGTGAGGGAGGGAGAGTGAGAAAGCAAACCGTCAGGTCTGGGACTCAAACTGTAGTCAGCCATGTGGGAATTCCAGGGCCTCAACCACCACACCACCTGCTGGCCCCTCTCATTTTTATTCTTCTAATATCATTTTCACAACTGAGATAAACCATGCATTACGATAACATTTTTTTAAATTTTTAATTGCCGAAGTGTGCGTGTGATTGTGTGAGAGTGCATGAGAGTAAGCGAGCATCCCATAGTGGGTCATGTTCATGCTGCATCTCTTTTCTCCATCTCTCCATCCTGTCAGGATTTGGGGCATGCATGCACATGCACCTGGTGTGATTTTCAAGCTGCTGAGAATGGGATTCAAATTTTGACCATCTGGGATCTGGTTTCCTTAAGTATTAGGCCAGCCACAATAACAATTTTTATCTTTTTAATCAGATAAAATTTTTCTTTTAAATAAGAAAGGCAGTTAATATTGCCTTTTTCTTTTGCATAGTGTATACTACCACAAATTCTTGCCAGCTACAACTCAGTAATACTTTTCAATAGATCAGATAACCTGTCAATTTTTATTTTTCTTGGAGACATTCTCCCTGCTAGAGTTTGCCATTTTGTTATATTAGAGGAGTTTTTGGAGGGAGTAGAGATGAACATTCATATTCAGTCTACTACATTTAGCTGAACAGAGATCATTGCTGTTTATTTCAGTTTGGGGAAAGACCATAAGTGATTTAGGAAACGGGTCTGGTCATTTAACAGATTCAATCTTGGCTACCTTTTTCCTTTGCAGTAAAGTTCCTCATTCTTCCCCCTGCCCAGATACTCTCACAGCTGCTGTTCTGTTTTGTGTTTCCCATCTATCCAGTGTCTGGAAATTAGCTGAGGACCTGCTGCCCACCTGCCAACTGTGCTGCATCCACCCCTCAGTCCACATAGCAACAAGCATTTGCTCTGCTCTTGGCATCCTTTTGTTCTCTAAATAAGCCCCAACCCTAAGAACCTGTGCAGACTCATTTATCCCAATCCCAAGAGGAAACTGGAGGAGAAAGGATTGTGGTATGGCTATTCTCCCAAAGGGGTGATTTCTCACTTTTCCTCTTTTATCTCTCTCTCTCTCTCTCTCTCTCAGTCACACTCTGGTGAGTGAATGCACCCTGTAACAAAAACTTAAAGAGAAAAAAGAAAGATTCTGGATGAGAAGGTCTTTGAAAAACTTATGGAAAATGCATATCATGAAAAAACTATGCATGGATTTCCAAGTTTTTTGTAATTTTTTTTTTTTTTTTTTTTTTTTTTGGGAGAGGTTTTTGCTATAGGGCACCTGTGCTCGCCAGAAAGACAGAGAGAGACAGAGAGACAGAAAGCGAGAAATCACCCCCCGGGGGGATGGCCATGCCATAATCCTCCATTCTCCTCTCAGGATCTGGAGCATGCATGCACACACACCCGGCATGAGTTTTAAGCCACTGGGTCCGGGACCCGAACCACAGTCGACTACATGGGAGTCCAGCGACATAGCCATTACACTAACTGCTGGTCTCTTTCTGAAGTTTGTTTTTGAAGACACGAATGGGACCAGTTGTTAAGATAGTCTTGATGATAATTTTTGTGAGGGACATTCCCTAGTAGCCCCATTCCTGAATCTCCTGCTATCTTTTTTGGCCTGAACCTCAATTCTCCTGTTTCTGTGCTGGCCCTCTTGTACATTTGTTTGCTTGTATAGTCTTCGTCCTCTTTCCACCTTTTCTTAGGGAGCTTTTTCTCTGGAGAGGGCTCCCTATCTCAGCCTTTGAAGAGGTCATTTTCTTGAGGGATGTGCTCAGGCTTTGCTTCTGTGAATACTAAGAGCTTGGCCAAGGCATACATTTGCTGGTGCAAATTATTGTTACAGGCATTTGCCAGTGTGGTGGTAAAGGGAATGTGCTTAGATGCCAGTTTTTTCTCTTCCTTATCTCCCCCCACCAGCCCTCTCCTTCTACATAGTGTGTGCATGCATGCGTGTATACAGAGCACATAGCCTATCTTCTTGTAGTTGGTTGAAACGATCAGCTGGGGTTTGGGGAGTGTACTGAATCCCTATCTTTATTAATGGCCTGTCTTTTCCTCAATTTCAAAATCTATGCTTGATGCTTTCACCACCTGATGATGAGACTCATCTGCGGGAGAGTGGAGAAGGTACATCTGGGAACACAACTATCTTTTTGGTGCTCTCAGGTCCTGATGCTGTCATAGTGACAGTTCTGCCAGCATTGTGTGTGTGTGTGTGCACACATATATGTATGAAGATATCCTAATGAATTATATTATAGCTAGTGTTTATTGAGCTTTCACTTTGGGTCACATCCTATGTTAAGCATTTTATGGGTATCATCTCACTTAATGCATGTAATAGCTGAGGAAACTAAGACAACGAAGAGTTGAAGTAATTTGTTATTTTAGCACACAGGCTAATTCAAACCCAGAGAGTGCTGACTCCAGAGAACCACTACATTTTACACCTACCAGGCCGAATTTGGACATAAGGTGGCTCTGTGAATCATAGCTGAGGCATGCAGGTGGCTACGGTTGGCATTTTCCACAGGAAATGTGTGCCTGGAAGCCTGTACCATGTAGTCACCAAATCCCAACAATTTAGCAGTGTAGACAGATCCAGCTGTCTCTGTTAGACACAAGCTGTGTATTTATCCTTGGGGTAGGGGAAGCATCATGTGGGTGCCTCCTTCTCTCCTCTATTGGGTGACTCCTTCATGGGCACATGGAGCCTGTTCCCTTACTACATGAGTGAGCCCTCCTCCTTTCCCTGGTTCGGTCAACCTGACCTTCAGGCTGAGAGCCTCCTCACTGTTGCGCAGGCTTTTTATGGAGCTGTGATGACTCCTGGATGCTTTCTTTGCATCTTTAGCCATGCACGGCAGAGAGGCTGTGTTTTTAAGGTGGTCTGATAATGCAAAAGTTGATAAGACCATGATAAAAAGGGATTAGAAGTGAACTAAAGGTAAGATTGTGTAATATTTTCTGAGAAAAGAAGTGGAAATTGACTATGCTTACTCCCTTGCACTCTCCCTCTGATTTGGGCCTGCTTTGTTTCTTTGGTCTTATATCCCTGACTTTAGGTGGAGACTGATGCTCTCTGCTATCACTGCCTCTTTTTTTCTTTTTTCTTTTAGAGACTTTTGCTAAAGGGCACGTGTACTCACTAGAGAGACATAAAGTGAGAAATTACCCCCCAGGGGGAATGGCTATGCCACAATCCCTTCTCCTCCATTCTCCTCTTGAGACTTGGTACATGCACGCACACCCAGTGTGAGTTTCATGCCTCCAGGTCGAGGACTCCAAACACAGTCTACCATGTGGGAGTTCAGTGCCCTAACCACTATGCCACCTGCTGGCCCATCACTGCCTCTTAGCCCTGCTACTTTGTCTCATGATAAGTGTGGAGGTGTAGATACCATCTAGGGTCATGCACAAAAGACTTTGTTGGCCTCTGTGGTCACCCTGGGCCCATGATCCACCTTAGGTGTTTTAAGCCAACAAACTGTGAAGAAATCTTCCAGAACTAGGGTAGGGATCAAACCAGCCAACACTTTGGGGCTGAATGGCCCTTGTTCCTCCTCTCTGTGATAGGAGTCATAATCCTAACCTGTTTCCAAGATGGTCTGGGGGCCATGGGCAACAGGAAGGTGTGTCCTGCAGAACACTTAAGGCCTTACCCTGTAGCCACCCTGCCAGCTTCAGCATCTGCAGTGAGAGAACCTCAAAGCTGGGTCCAGGCTGGAGAGACAGGATTCCTTGAATCACTGCTGCTACAGCTCACATGCACTTTCGGGGATCATTTCCAGGCAGGTATGTCCTTTGCTGCTTCCTCAACCATCCTAAGTCTCTGGCCAGCTGGCTCTGCCTTCACTGGTCAGGCTTTGCCTCTGAATGCTGTTCCTTGTCCTTTTCTAAGAAAAACTTTGCTATCTTTATTAGTGCTGTTATTCTTTCTGTTTTAATATAAAACGGATCCCTGATCATTACAGAAAAAAGCAACAAAAAGACAGGGAGAACCTGAAAAACACTCCATCTCTACCCAGAGAGAGAGCACCTTGATGTGCTACCCACAGGCAGCACCGATAGTATGTATTGCATATGTCTGTTACTAGTTTACACAAAATTCTTAGCAGTATATTCTGAACATCTTTCCACATCAGCAGATACATTTCCATACCACCACTTAAAAACTTTACAGAATTTATTTAAGAAAAACAACATATATTCATGACGA